TATTTTGCTTTTCTTTGAATTATTGTATTCACGTTAAATGTCACAATGCTGCCATCCTCATAGGAAGTGAACAAATTGAAAGGCCAAACTCTGGCTAGTTGCTTGTGGGCACAATTTCAGAAAACTGAGCTTTGGATGCTCTACCTGTCCTAAACTGTCTCCCTGGTRGCAAACAGAAGGTGCAGTTCAGGATTATTTCTTGCAGGGAAAGCTAAAATTCTGATGTTGGAGTAAGTAGGCACACTGATCCAACCAACATGAATGGGAACTGTGTCAGACCTGAATTCAGAAAAATGGATTTCAGTTGTGTTTCTTTAAAGGGGATCAAGGCTTCTTACCATAGGTAGAGAAAAAGAGCTCACAAGGACTCACTTTTGATTTAATGCTGAACTGAATGGAAGCTCACCTTGCTCCTTCTGGACTYAATCCCGTTCCAGAAAAAAACCTGGAACCTTACTGACAGACAAGTGGTAAATGGGTAGAAAGAAGTCTTCCCAGTGCCTGGAGCAAGCAGTTCTCCTGTTTGGTCTCAGTAGTTCACAGCTCTCCCTCAGCCTGGCCAGGGGAGGAGACACGAGGTGTGCCTACCACCTTTCATTTGCCAGGTACCTGCAGGGCAGCCAGACTCAGGCTCTTGCCACTGCCWCAGCTTCCCATTGCTGACAACTCATTCATTGTAACTAACGAGCACTATGCCTGTATTCCCTTTATTTATTAGGATCATTGTTGTGATTACCCTGTTGCAGTAGGCTTAATCCCAATTTCCAAGCATGKTTTTATTCACACAGAATTCTTCTCAGTAGGTAAAAAATGAATTCGTAATAATTATCTGGTCAGCATTACTGTTTCATTTCCAGAGCTCTGTGGCTACACCATTCCATTCACCAGCAGTAATAAACTCACCTAGTTATTTTGCAGGAACAGATGGGCCACCACTCTCTTCCTTGACTCTGAGGGTAGGGAAAGTAATTTCAAATCATATTATTGTTTTGGTTTGGGTTTTTTCACTTAAGAGCAAGGGAAAGGGTGACTCACATTCTGTTTGCAGTTCACCAGCTGCCTCCTACTGTCCCYCTGAATCATCAGTTGGGTTGCAGCACTGCTGGCTTGGTCTTTATCATTTGCAGAAAGGACCTGATTACCCAGCCCTTGGTTTCATAGCCTTATAAAACATTCTTGTACAATTGGGCTCACCAGCTTTTGTTAAGAAGGGCTGCAGTGAAATCTGAGAATTGCATTGCAAGGGGAATTTGCAGCATCAAAAGGAATTTAATCACAATTATTCTTTTCACTCCTTTTGGYGCTGATTTAAGCACTTACTTTGACATGAGGTTAGTATAGTAAAGAAGAATGGTCACTTTTAAAAGGACCTTTYTGTAGCCATAACTGAACATTTTAAGTAACAACCCTCTATGTATGACATGTCAGCCTCCTCAGCTTTCTGAACTTTTAGTGTAGACTATCTTCTTAGTTCTTAAAGATCAGTACATATCTGCTGTGCACAAGATTAATAAAAAGTGGCATAAAAAGTGGATCAATAAACACTGAAAATTTGAAAACAGTGTAATAAATTTTTGAAATCATAATTGAAAACTATGGAAACATTGATACAAAATTTCAGGTATGCCTTCCTGTCTCAGCCTTATTTTCCATGGTATCACCAGCGAAGAATCCCTGTACATGGTTGCTGATGACACAGATGAACCAGAACGTAGGAAGCGCAGGTTCAGGTCCCACAGGYGAGATTACAGAAAGTCACTTTGATCCACTTTTCATTTAGTGCATTGACAACAATCTCCTAAACACTTCTGGGTCCTGTCACAAGCTGAACTTTGTGGATGTAGCTTTGAGTGCATAAAGTGATTTAGGGACTTAGTAAAGATATCCTGATTTTCTATACATTAGATGTTCACTATGGGGATCTGAGACTTTTGCCCCATTATTAAGCACTCCCYGATGTTCAGCATCCTTCAGTAATTTTGAGAGGGAATTTATGCCATGCTTCTTGTCATGTGTGACTAACATAGCAATGGGGTTAATTTTCAGCTCTTATTATGTGCCCTCTCCTTAAAAAGCACTCTACAACAACAGTTATTAGTGACAAAAATAATAATCATCACCCTAATTTATGTTRTTAGTTACATTGAATTACAGGACATTATTTAACATTGGCTCTGCCCATAAAAATTATAAYTGTCCTCCAAAATACAAATTAATTTTATGTCTAAGGAAGGCTGCCAACTAAAAATAAAAAATGCCATTTTATTAGGATTAGCCCACTTAAAGGGAATACATGAAGCTTCATAAATCTTATATTTCTTATGCAATATGTAAACACCAATTTTATATCAAGTATGTGACCTGACATTAACAATCTTTTTAGTGTCTCAAAGTAAGTGTCACCATCAAAGAGCAACTGAATATATTCCTCAAAATGTGAGAAAAAGAAAACCTTAACTTGGTAAAACACAGATACATATCTTCTTGGCTACCACTGTTCAACTGATTAGACACKAATTTCAAAATACATAAAAACTTATGGTGTGTTATATAAATATAATATATCAGAATCATATTAGTAGAGTAATAGCTATTTTTAATGTATTATTGTCCTACCATAGGCAGTAAAAGCAGAAAAGTGTACAGATCTCTATTCATCTCTACAGAGTTCAGTATAAGATAATCAAATTGTGATGGAAAGCACTCTCATGCTTGATCAACCTGGCATATTTTAATATATAGGCATCATAATACTTCTGACATATTTTAATCATACTGTTTTCTGTTTTMAAAATATTTGGATATTTAAAAAATGTGGTGTTAGGTGCTTTAGTTAGACTGATGTCACCTAATAAGCCTCACTGGAATCCAAAACATCACTTTTCCTATATATTTAATCATTCCCTGAGTATAACCCACATGTGAATCATCCATCATGATAAATAAAGGAAATAATTTCCCCACATGGAGCACATTTATTCAGGATTCGCGATCCTTTCAGTCAATAACTGTAAGTAYATTTTGCTGAATTTGTGTAGGGGAAGCTGATGCCCCAAAATGAGCATTTCCCGCAGCAGCCCCGTGGATGGGGCTCAGCCAAGGGCACAGCTGTTTGAGCAGCTCTTTGTGTGGGTTACCAGGGAATGCCCACAGAAAGCCTGTTTGTGTGCTCCTGGGGGGGAAGGGCTTCTGCACATGCACCAAAATGTATTTTCTACTCATGTTCTGCAGTCTCCTTCCAAGTTTTGAATCTCCTGGCACATTTTTATACTTCCTGATGACCTCATCATCATCATCATATAAAACATGRCTTGAAGAAAGAGAAAACAGGTGGAAGCTCAATTTTAGTGCTTCCCATTCTGCCCTTGCTGCTCCTTCCCACCAGGCTGCCCTCTTCCTCCTCCCTCCCCGCTCCAGTTACCCAACAAAAACCAACAAGTGAAAAACTAACCAGGGAAATGTTTCATAAGAAAAAATTCCATGGTACCCTCTCCCTGACACACAAGCACACAAAAGGCAGCTTTAGTAATAACCACAACCATCCATTAAATCCAAAAAACCCAGCATAATGAACATACAAAAGTGTGAACTGCTAAACTGTGATATTCACTTAGTTCTTGGCAGAACAATTTTAAAGTAAGTAGCGTTGGCATTTGATTAGATATAAACACTTTTTCTTTCTTTTTCTTTCTCTTTTTTCTTTCTCTTT